ATTTTCATTGACTGATGGAGGTTGAAAAGCCAGTTGAGAACATTAAGCAATGGTGGAGGGGTAGCGACAGAAGGAAAGACATGATTCCAGGCCTCAACAGCGTGCTAGCATTGGAAAAGGCAATGATGGAGAGTCTCATCCTGATATTCACAAACCGGGCATGCTGAGTTTGGTGCACAATGACGATTATGCAGCTTCCTTTTTGTAGTAAGTGCACCTCGAGAGCATTTCCAATACAAAATTTCATCTTGGGGAGGGGGGTAGAGAAAGGCTCCATAACCATTTCCATCTCCCCTTCTCTTCTGGGGTAATGGTGTTACCATTTTGAGATTCAGTTCTCTTGATTTCTGAGAAGAAATGGTAGGCAGAGTTCACTGTAAACTTGCCCATGGGATTGGGTTTCCATGCCCAAAATCATTTGCATCATGTAAGCCAATCGATATATTCCTAATCATGCTCTCTTGCTCCGGAAGGATATGACTTGTCAGTTCTTGCCCCCTTCACTCTCTGGAAATGGGATCAATCCATTTCGTCACATTCACTTGGTTGGACGGGAATCCTTGTAAACAATCGCCCTCAAGATCTGGGATCCATGGATCATGAAACACCCTTGTTTCCTCCGCGTTTCCGATAACTCTCACAATTCCTTTCTTCATTCTCTTCCTGGCCTCCCAAATGCTGGACCATATCCATGATGGTTGTGACCCCTTCTTTGCATTCATGAAATCCGTTCTTGAAAAGTAAAGTCCTTTCAGAAGACGAGCCCAGAGGGAAGTGGGGGACATGAGGAGCCTTCATGCTTGTTTCACCAGTAATGCTAGGTTAAATTCCTTAAACATCCGAAAGTCGATGCCCCCTTCACTTTTGGGACTGCATAGGGAGGTTCCCTTCACCCAGTGGATCGACTTTTTCTGTAGGGATCCCGACCAAAAGAACCTTCTAAGGAGTGAATCCATCTTCTTTGTAATCCAGTCTGAAAGTAGGAAAAGGCACATAATGAATGTAGGCAATGCGTGGAAAACTACTTTGAGTAGCGTCTCTTTTCCTCTTGATGAAAGTAAAAAGGCTTTTCCATCCTTCTCCTTTCCTTTTCATTCTTTAGATTAGGAATTGGAAGGTTTCTTTCTTGGACCTTCCCCATTCTGTAGTCACTCCGAGGTATTGAGAATGGCAGTTGGAAGGTGTGAAACCAATGGTGTTGATGATACTCTCTCTTTCATTCGTCGAAGATTGTGGGTGAAGAAGATAGATGACTTGTTCCCATTGACCTCCTCTCCCGTGATTGCTCTATAGTTCTCAATGATTCCCATGATCTTTGTCTCCTCCACCTGTGTGACTTTCCCAAAAATGATAGTGTCATCAACAAACAGGCAGTGGGTAAGTAGTGGGCAATGTTGGTTCAGCTTCACCCCCCTAATCTGGTTGTCAGAAACAGCTTGGTCAATTAAGAATGAAAGTGCATTAGACATTAAAATGAATAACAGGGGGAAAGTGGGTCTCCCAGACGAATGCCTCTTTCTGGGGTGAACTCCGTTGTTGCCTCTCCATTGAATAGAATAGAGAATTTCACCATAGTGATGCATTCCTTAATCTAGTTACACCATTTCTGGTCAAAAATATAGGGTGAAAGAAGCCGAATAAGGCAATTCCAATCCACAAGAACGTAAGCTTTTCTCATGTCCAACTTGAGCATCATGTCTCTTCTATTTCCCGTTTGTGTTTCTTGAAGTGGTTGAGGACTTCATGTACGATCGCAATATTATCTTGAATCTGCCTCCCTCCGGTGAATGTTTTCTGTAGCTCTGAGACTAGCGCTGGCAGCCACTGTTGAAGTCTTGAAGTCATAATCTTTGTGATTACCTTGTACCGGAAATTATAGCAACTTATCGGCTGGAATTAGCTTATAAGTTCATGCTTCTCCATCTTAAGCACCAAGGTAATATGAGTCTTGTTCCACCCTTCTGGTAGTCGACCATTCAAGAAGAAATCCTTGATTTCTTTGCAGAATCCTTCCTCAATCGTAGGCCAGAAACTACGAAAGAAGTGCCCTGTGAATACATCCGTTCCTGGAGCCTTTGTGAAGCCAAGGTCAAACACTGCTCTACGGATCTCATCATTCGTGACTGGCTCACATAGTTTCTGATTCATTTCAGCTGTCACCAGAGACGGGAAGCCATCCAGAATATGTTCAAAATGTGTTTGGTCCCTTACTTTAAAGAGGTCCTGGTAATACTGAACCGAATGATCTTTGAGCCTCTCTTCATCATCACTCCATTTTTCCATCTTGAATCTTCAGACTGAGTATTCGGTTGAAATTTTTCCTTTTAATGGCACTCGAGTGAAAGAAAGTCGTGTTTTGGTTCCCATCTTGTAGCCAGTTCACTCGTGATCTTTGTGCCCAGAAGCTTTCCTCATCTTTCCAAATAACATCCAATTCTTCCATTAAACTTTTCTCTTCTTCAACCATAGGTTGTGTTCTAATAGGCCTCCGGAGATCTCTTATTCTGTCTTTAATCTCATTTTCTCTTTGGAATTTTTTCTTCCTCGTTTCCTTTGCCCAACTTTTCAATCTATCTTTGCAAAGGGAAAGTCTATCCTCTGTTACTCCTGGAGAATCCCAAGTCCTCAAAATAATGTTCCTGCGTTCCTCTTCGTCCCTCCACCGCCGATCGAATCAGAAAGGGGTTCGTCTTGTTGATTCTCGATGATCAATGGCCACTCGAATTGGGCAGTGATCGGACTCGATCATGTCTTCGTGGAAAACAGTGGCATTCGTGAAGTTCTTCATCCAGGACGTTGAGCATATTGCTCTATCCAGTCGTTCTCTTATGAGTTGTGAGCCTTGTTGTTTGTTCGACCAGGTGAACAGTTGTCCTTTGAATCCCATATCAATGAGGGCGTTCCGCTACAGAAAATTAAACAATCATTTGCTTGTGGTCATACCGATGATTCAAGCTACTGAGAGTGGCTTATGGCTTTTTCAAATCTACACAAGGATTTCTTTTACAATAAGGTCGACTTTATTTCACCTGGGTTTAAAAATATACCCAATCATATTATATCAGAATTATGATCTAATATTGATCCCGTTATCAAGAAGGGAGAATCTAGTTAAGGAATGAGCAACCTAGTCTACCCTATTGTTTTGCCTTCTCTAAATCTCTTCAATTTTGATTTAAGGGTTCAATCTTAGAATGCACACCATCCAACCAATGCATGTCACATATTACTAATTAAGCAATTACAGATCAATTATTACTAATGTCACACATCTTTGATTGAGTAAATGAGGACCTGACAATCTGATTGGACATTAATATACTCGGATCCATACTATTGAGTCAACTTAATACCTTTCAAAAGGGCTTTCGCTTCCAATTCAATCCTTGTATAACAGAGGATTGTCTTAGCTCCTTATCATATATTTTTTCCTGGATGTTAATGATCAAAACACTATATTCCACAACCATGGAGTCTCTTAAGAATGAGCTCATCGTTTATTATAGTGAATCTCCATCAATGAATAACTTAGTGATAAATTAGTATGAGTTTGGATTCTCCTAAGTTGTGAACTAGTGGGAGGAAGTCGAGAAGTATCTCTCAAAAAAGACGTCCACTCAAGGAATTCTCGGGAGGGGTCCTGGTAGAAACATAGTTTCTAACTCCATTTTATCATTTGGACTTATTCGTCATTTTATTTCAGTTTGGTAGATTTTATTGTTATTCGAGATATTTTGAGATATTTGGATGTTTTTGGGGTGGGAGCATCATTTTAGATAGTTATATGGAATTGATCGAACTATATAATCCGTAATCAGTGAAATTTTACAATTAAGCAATTACAGATCAATTATTCCTAAACCTAATTGTCTCTCTCTCAACCCCAAACTCTCTCTCTCTCTTCTCCCTCTCCTGTGTCGCCGATCCCCTCCCTCGGGGGGCTTTTTTTCTTCTATGTCCTTAAATTATCTTCTTCGTTCCCTGCTCAAATAGCTAATTCTATGTCAATTCCCAGTTTCCCCATCTCTGAACCTTATACTGACGTCCCTAAATCCATACTTCTTTCAGCCTCGGGTCCCCACATGTGTCAAAGCCTATGGGATCAAATCCTGAATATGCTTTCAATCCTTGCCTTCTAAATTTTTTAATAAAGGAAAATAACATGAAGTAGACTCTAGGGTTAAAACAATTCTTCAAAGAGCATATATATAAAGAAAGGAAGAAGGGGAAGGGGAGTAGAGAGGGAGAGACGAGAACATAGCACTCCAAGTGTTGCTTGCATGAGGGCTATGAAAGAGGCAGTAGAAAAAAGACTCATTTATGTTTGACAAGTATCACAAGTCAAGTTTTAAGAGTATCGTCGGTCATGCAGACCATTCTTCAAGCATCTCCAAATGAAGAACTTGAGTTTAGGTGGAACTGTAGAAGGTCCAAACCCAAAACTACTTCAGCATACCCTTATTACCTTGGGACTAAAGATTTATGTTGGCGTCGTGATTCTTGTGAATAGCATCAAAAGCATCTAATTGCAAGTACCCCTTCATTAGAGAATTTTACATCACAAAAATCCTTTCAACCAAGTACCCCTTCGTTAGAGAATTTTCCATCACAAAAATCCTTTCAATTACAGTTGAATCCCTTGAAATAGTTTCCAACTCGTTTGAGGAGTGTTTTTTACAATATTTTGACTTTTTTAAATGTGCAATTGATTGAGTTTGAAATCATTCTAGTTATGACTTATGAGTCGTTCGAGTTTTCTTTAGCAAAAGAAAAATTCATTAACTTTTGTATTGTTCAAACTGATTTGATGTAAATAGTCAATCTCATTCTTTTGACTATGATGTACCGTTCGTCCGTTCCCATTTAACACCTCCCTTATTCACATACCTGCCATTAATTAGGAAAATTTGACCGAAGCCTTCCGTTGGTGTTCCCTTCCCTTATTTTATTTGGTATATAGAGGAATATATGGTCACATACAAAGTTTAAAACACACAAAGATCATAGAAAATATACCATTGGATGTGTGCTCAAATAAAACATAGTAAATCACCAATATCTTAGGTGAAGGACTCAGAATAAAAATTAGGTCCAACCAATACATAAAATCCAAGTCAGTACATATTCAAATTCCGAGAAAATCAACTCAGACAAGGTGAAAAATCATCCTCACACACACATTCAATTTGGGTCGAAAACTCCATGAAAACAAACAAACAAACTGCCCGCCGGAAACACTCGCCGGCCGGTCAGGCATGGTGAGCCATGGCCACAGAGAGATCGACAAAAATTCCAAAGAGCAAGATACAAAGCCCGGTAAAGTTGATGAGCCGGGCCTCGGCGTGTCCACGGAGGTTGAGAAGCGTTTCTCGCTGCATGAGCCCCGTGAGCGCCGCCGCAACGGCCATATACAGAAGCGCCCTGCCGAAACTTATGTGCCACGGCATCATTCTGGACCTCGTCTCCAGGCTTGCCTTGGGGAACATGTAGGTGACCAAGCCCAACAGCCATTGGAGGCCCAACATGATGAAGGTTGTGAGCCCAATCCATGAGTGGAGGCTGAACATGTCTTCAGCGCCTATCATGTCGTGGAATCTGAACACGGCGGCTATTCCGACGATGCCGAGAGCTATGCCGATTAAGTGTAACACCATGTGTACTACCTTTTGTGCTTGTTTGGCTGCCGGCACGGTTTTGTATGCCATCATTGCTGCATAGGGAGGAGATTTTGTAAGAAATCGGGATGCGATTAACAATGAGTGTGCAATGATTTAAGACCATATCGAACTAAATCGGATCCTATTGATATTTGGATCGATTCAATTCGATATTTAACTCCATAAATCTTGTTCATTAGTAATGAAAGAGCGGACCGGATTGTATCGAATCTTTTGCAATCTAGTTTTGGTTATCAATTATTTTTTTTTTTAACTTTGTGCTATTTTTATTCGGTCTGCAGGTTGGTACTGGACTATATCAAACTATTGTCCATAGCTAATTAGTGGGCATCATCTAGTATCTAAACATTTTTTTTTTCACTTACAATTTAGCCATATACCAACAATACCAAATATTTTCTTCAAAATTATGCGTTAGCGTGTCTAAACATGTAAGTCGTATGTTAATTTGTACAAAGATATTATGTCAATTTTTTAGTATCAATCACGAGATAGTATTAAATCATGATCCTTCTCATCGTTTTGCTATTAAGAAATGAATCTAACTTTTGAACACTTAAAACTTTAGCAACCCATGGCAAAATAACACATTACTTTTCAAATACATCAAATTATCGAAAGTATATCATTCTTTCACCCCAACTATACGTTTCGACGAACAACGCGAACCCTAACCACTTGCCACCTCTAAAAATTTGTACTTGTCAACCAGACCAACATGTAAATTGTTCCAGGGTGATATGCTCACTACTAATTAAGTTCAGTTAGGAGGAGTTACCTTGACCAACGAGGAAGATGAAGCCGCAGAACATGAGGAATGGATGAACCTGCAGCGAGTCGATCGACCGTAAGTAAAGACGCATAGAGATGGAAGTTGCATGAACACCGAACACAGCAATAATGGAAGGTTTTGGTTATGGGTAAATTAGTGCGTGCGTACATTGAAGACGCGGGCCGGGTTGTCGGAGTCGTACTCAATGCCGCCGCGGTAGTGCAGCAACCATATCAGCATCAGAACAATCGCCAACACCCCGAACAATTGAGCTCCGATCGTCAGCCTCGACGCCGATCGCGCTAAACCACCACCCCGTCCATTTCTTCGAATTGATGATTAGAGTACTGAAGAATGGAGATGGAGGTGCAGATATATATGGAGAGAATGTAATGTAATGTGTCAGGGTGGTTGTTGTAAAGGGAGGGGATCAAAATGAATGGCAGGAAGGAATCTGTCTAATGCATAATTAAAGCAAAAGGGTTAGGGATTGCTTGCGGCTTTTGGTTTAGCATCTGTGTTTTCTTCTTTTTCCCAATTTTGATTCCTCATCAAAGCTTAACTCTGGGAACATTTAATGTGTATCTTAATCAGTCGATGATTCTTAATATGCTTTAGCAATAACTGGGTAGGCAGCAGCTTAGAGCGCGTCTGTGGACTGTGAACGCATTCACTCTAGTCCGGAAAGGTACAGGTTAGTGTGTAGATCAATACGAGCTGGCACTATTGAATCTCATCGATTTTATGTTGGCCATACGTCACATATAAATTAGGTTCCTTACGAAATCTTCACCATTTGAAAATGTACCAAACAATATCGTAATGTTAGTGTGAGTTCCCGATGTAGATCAATACAGGTTGATACTATTGAGTCATTCTTGATGTCATGTTCGTCATGCACTCATGCATCACATATAAATCATGTTACTTATGAAATTTTCACCATTTCAAATCCTATCAAACAATGTAACCGTGTTGGTGTAAGGTGAGTTGTCCCTTTTAGTAAATTTAGTAATTCTCGTTAAATAGTAAATCTAAATGGGTTTGTGATCTGTTTTGTTGTTGTCCAAAAATGGATTATCAAACTATTACAAGACGGCTCCACTTTACCCAAGCCATTAGCACTTCTCTGTCATTTTCTAGCCAAAGATGAGCTGATGAAAGAAGCTCAGCATGTACGTACTCTGGTCTAGGGGTGGCTATACGGTCCGGTCCGGTTTAAATGGCCCAAATTGATCCGGTCCAGTCCGGTTTTTTTGAGAATATAAAGACCGAAGATTGGATTGGATACGGTCCGGTCTTGACCCGGTTCGGTCCCAATTCGATCTTGATTTTATATTGAGATTGTGGGAATTTGAGTGGCCTAAGGCCTAAAAGGGTGAGGAGTTGGTTAAGTTTTGTACTAAGTGTAAAGGTTTGTGACCGTTTATGCAAATTACCCTTAAGTTTTGGGTGTTGAGCTCTCTTATCCGGTTTTTATCCAGTTTTTTACCTCAAATCTAAGCCCAAAGATTGGATTGGCTTGTTTACTATCCGGTCCCGGTCCGGTCTCGGTCCAGATTATACGGTTCGGTTTCCAGTTTTTCATCCGGTCCCGGTCCAAATAGCCAGCCCTACTCTGGTCTCGTACCCCTTTCACAGAATTTGTTTTGGGCTTTCTGTTCGAGGGACGAGCCCAGCCTCGGCCGACATTTTTTTCCGGATGAATTAATTGAAAATGAGATAATATGATTAATTGTCTAATTTTATAAAATGAGTCATTTAATATGAGTCTATTCGAATTGTCTAACTTTTTTTTTTTTTTTGCCAAAGTTATCCTAAGAGGGAAGCAACGAAGATACGACAAAATACAAGGCCTCCTAAGACCAGGCTAGGAAAATTAAATAAATAAAACACGATGATCGACAAGTGTCTGCACCATCGCTCCAAGGGCTTGTCTTGCCACGAAATGGGCAGCCCTATTATACCTACGGGGAGCGAAATGGAACGTAGCACGAAGGAAAGAAGCCCGCAACACCTGAATCTCTTGCAGGAGAGCTCCACCCACCGCGTGCGCCGAGTCATTCGCATTAATCATCCGAACGATCACCTGCGCATCCCCACAAAACAAAACATTAGTGAAAGAGTGAGCCATGCACCAACGTAAGGAGTCGCGAAGGGCCAGGAGCTCTGCGAGAAATGGGTCATCAATATTAGGAATAAAGCGCCCCCAAGAGAATATAGAGTGATTCGTCTCTGCCCCCAAGAGAATATTAGGAATAAAGCCAACAAAACCAATGGCACATCCGACCAAAGATTTGAATTGTCTAACTTCATTCTAGACAATTGTATTATTGTAATTACCTCAAAACGAGTCAATTTGAAATTTCCTAAACAGAATTGTTCCATCTAAATTTGTGCTGCCAAACGGATCAATTTGGCCAGATTGTCAAAACCAAACAATTGAGTGAAATTGATCCTTTAAAATTACTCATCAACAACCCATATAGTTATTTTATTGATGGAGAGAAAAGTGTGAGATTCTAATATTTTCCTCATCAACATATTGTTCGTTTTCTTTTTTCGACATATTTTCGTATAGTTTTGTTTTTGGTGTGTAAAGTCACTAGAGGTGACCTAGCATTATACTAATGTATAATGGTTAATGGACACGTTCAACTTAATAACTATTAAAAAAGTTTCTTCATTTCATCCAAAAGCACGTTTTATCGATTAATGTTGGATTAGATCTCTTGTGGTTTGTCGATGTGAAATTTGTCTGATGTGTTACAAAAAGTGTAACATCATAACCTTTATTCATAAAAATGGCTAACACCACTAGGAAATCCAAACTATTAAGAATATTTCATTTGTGTCCTAAAGTATCCAATATGACATTTGTGTCCTAAATTAATGACATTTGATTATTATATTTAGAAAACTCGAGGGAAGTAGGAAAGAAACTAGCCGACACAACACATCAATTATTGATTACACTAATAAATTAATGACAGTTGACAACAATCTCATAAAAAAGTCGCTTGAGAAACTAAAACAAGTCTTATGAAAATCATATTTCTTCACATTTTATTAATAAATCCATAGGAAACAATCCAGATACACCCTTATGCCTTAATTCAATTCACCTTGCTAATAAAACAAAAATTATAAATTATCAAGAAAAATACTCTTCACTTAAGCAGAGATTAAGCTCATAAGCAAATCCCCAACCAGCATCTTAACTTAGCATAATCAAGTACTCCAAAACACAGCCGTTTCGTTTCGTCTAACAAATTGTATTCTTGTTGTTCTTCTTCTTGTTGGCCACGAATTTCTTCCAGTAAGTCGTAATCTCCCTCTGCGTCTCAATCTCCGTCTTCTTCAAAAACGTCCCGTTGACTCTCCCACTCCCACCCTCACCGGCGGCAACAACAACAGCCGCAGCCGCCTCCTCCACCACGGCAGTACTCTTCGCGTGAAGCCTCACCGGCAGATTATCCAGCTCGTGAAGCACCTTCGTCACATCCAGCACCAGCCTCTCCGCCAGAGTCCTCGAGAAATCCTCCCTAATCACAACCCTAAGCACCGTAATATGCTGCGCGTCCGCCGGCATCGTGTACGCCGGCACAATCCACCCGTAGCTCCTCAACATCTCCGCGATCTCGAACTCGTCGTGCCGGCTGTTGTCCTTCAGCGAGAACGCCACAAGTGGAACCCCAATTTCCTTCGAAACGATCTCGAAACGTCCCGTCCTCTCCAGCCCTTCCCTGAGAAACATGGCGTTCTCGTGGCAATTCTCCATCACGTTTCGGTACCCCTCGTGCCCCAATCGGATCAATTGGTAGTACTGCGCGATGATCTGGCTCGAACCCTTGGAGAAATTGAGGGTGAAAGTCGGCTGATCGGCTCCCAAGTAATTGATGTGGAAGATCAATTCGTCGGGCAAATCGTCCTTGCTCCGCCAGATCGCCCACCCGACGCCGGCGTAGACGAGGCCGTACTTGTGCCCGCTGACGTTGATCGATTTGACGAGCGGGAGGCGGAAGTCCCATTCCAGCTCCGGCCACAGGAAGGGGGCGATGAACCCGCCGCTCGCCGCGTCGACGTGGATCGGCGTGTCCCAACCGGTCACTCTGTTTTTCTCTGTCAACAAGTCGTTGAGCTTCTTCACGTCCTCGAACTCGCCGTTGAGCGTTGACCCGAGGATCGCGGCGACGCAGATCGTGTTCTCGTCCACCATCTCCACCGCCTTTTCCGGATCCATGACGTAGTAGCCTTCCGTCAGCTTCACTTCCTTCAGCTCCACCTCGAAGTACCGAGCGAATTTCTCCCAGCACACCTGCAATTTGGGGGGAAAACAGAGTCAACGATTAGGTCAAACTGAAAATTATCCCAATTTACAAATTAGAATCGGCAAGTTGCTAATTGGGCGAATTTGTTTACCTGAACATTGGCGCCGGTGACGATGTTGGGCTTGTCGCAGGGGAGGCCGAGGGCCCTGCGCTTGTTCTGCCACTTGCGCTTGAAGGCCAAGCCGGCGAGCATGATGGCCTCGGAGGATCCGACGGTGCCGACGCCGACGGCGGCCTCGGATTCGCCGAGTGGGGCGTTGAAGAGGTGGGCGATCATGTTGACGCAGCGGTTCTGGAGCTCGGTGGTGACAGGGTACTCGTCCATGTCGACGTAGTTCTTGTTGAGTGCGTCCATGATGAGCTTGTCGCACTCGGGCTCCATCCAGGTGGTGACGAAGGAGGCGAGGTTGAGGCGGGGGCGGCCGTCGAGCATGAGCTCGTCGTTGATGATCTGGAAGGCGGCCTCCTTGGGGATGGAGTTGTCCGGCATCCGGTAGCGCGGGAGGGACTCGCGGACGTAGCGGGAGGCGAATGTGGAGTGGACGGAGACATCGGATTGGGAGGAGATCTTGGAGAGCACCATTGTTGTTGCTTGTTGGACTGTGGATTGCAGATGTCAAAACGGATGACAGGACAGAGGAATGTGGGTTTGCTTTTGATTTTGGTTTGCAGAGGAAGTGATGGAGAAGAAGGAAACAGGGGATGGAGTTGTTTATATAGTGGGTGGAGATTTGGAATAGGCATTCCAAGTTTGAATAAGTGGGGGGGAAGGTGCAAGTGGGAAAGGAAGTGTTGGACCATTTCCATGTTCCAGCTTCGTTGCTTGTTTCGTATTATGGGTTTTGATATTTCTTCTAAGGGCACTTCCTTTCCTTCCTTACATACATGGCTGCTTCCTGCCTTCATTCCCCTTCCATGATTAACGGTGGTTATCTTCTTCGTTTGTTGTCTGAAAAAGACATTTCTTTAAAGAAAAGTATGGACTTGTTTCCTTCTTTGGTGAAAAGGACAAAAAGGTGAGGTGACTTTCTTCAATTCCTTCAAAATAAGGGTGAGAGGAGAGGATGTCTACTTGGAAGCTATGGCGAAGGATGGAATTGAGTCGCGAGGATTTCGTTTACACAAGTCTAATATCTTAATAATTTGGTTACCGTTTAATTGGCAAGGGTAGGATGTATGTCCACTTTATCACTGTAAAAGTTCTTTTAATTATCCAAAAAAAAATGTAAGTATTTAAGTCGAATTGACTAGATTCGACTGTCTATTGCTTGGGATGAAAAGAATTTGGAGAGAATTTTTGAGAGAAGAGAAAGCGCGAGTGAGATATGAGGAAGAAGAAACGATTACCCAATTGAAAATTTTAACGAACATTGATATATACAAATGTTTATGGGTCTGTATTGAACTCATTAGGTCTCGAAAGTTTGGTTTAAAGGGTTTTGATTCGAAGGTCTTAACTACTCATCCTTAAATTGTGGTTGTCATACTTGTATCTACATCTCAACACTAAGTGATCAACACTTTCTTTACTTATTTTTTTGGATTTTTCAAACTTTAAAATTAGAAGGACAATGCTTTGTAGATTTCTTAGACTTCAATTTTACCACCACCCGTATGTACACGACTACACTCAAAATCATTTGTGGTTTCATCGCTCTTTAAACCTAACTTGATTCTGTGCATTTTTGTATGTTTTTCACTATCCGCTTAACTATGATGTTAAATCATAAATTAAAAGCTAACATGGCTCAAATTTACCTCACGGTCTCCTCATGGAAAGAAATCTGCTAAAAGAGTCTAAATCGGTATTTGAAAATCTTCTTGCTTAATTAATCATTAAGTTCATCTAATAAATTAACAATTAATTCAGAATGACCACATCGACCAGAGAAGGAAACAAATAATTCATCTAATAAATTAGCAAATAATTCTGAATATTTTGTTCCCCAATCTTCTATATCTTACGTTATTGCTTTGGTCATCTCTTGGAGAGAGAGAGAGAGAGAGAGAAAGCAAACATTGTTAAAGACCCCTAATTTCCTCGTCAATCCTCCATTGTCAACTTGGACTTGAATCAAATCAAGGCCAAGGAGAGGAATTATCAAAGACTTTGAACAGAAAATTACACCTCAGAGTCTCCAATATTCCGTTTTCACGGGAACGCCGGCGCCCGGCCGGCAGGTGGAGATGGCCTCCTGCCGGTCAAACCAAACCAATAATCACAATGCATGACGCCCGCCCGCCGGTGAAAAGCGAACATGTCTCCGTTCCACAAAAAAACGAACCGCCGTATGAACAAGCCCAGCTGACCACCAGATTTACATAAATGGAAATTCATTTTGGAAGTCTAAAACAAACCGTCTTCCTTAGATGCAATCGTTCCTTTGTTTGCTTATTTACGTTGACTTTTGCCATTTGATGGTGAACACGTCGTGATGTTTCAATTTGTTGAGAGTCGAAATAACAAACAAAAAAAAGTCTTTTTTTTATAGAATTCTCGTCAAGGGAATATACCATAATTATTTCCCTTTTTAGAAGGGGGACGTTTGGGGATTCATGTCTTTTGTTACATAGGAATACAAATTTGTTCGGAATCAAATAGTTATTATATAGCTCAATGCCGTAGATGCTCAATGGTCGATCTATCAATAAAAAGGTTTTTTGTGCCACAAAAATGATATTCATGTTAAGACGATATGGAACAATAAATAAGAATGAAATTGAAGTATAATCAGTAATAACACAGTCGCCGAACAACTTAATCACATTGGTTTTGCTAGCGCTATTATATCACTAAGACACTAACTAATATTAATTAAGTTGGCTAAGTATTACTTTAGTTTTCCAACTTCCATATCCAAATATACTCTTCATTTCATATAACTATATGCTATATCCTTTCACGAAACAGCAATCATGTCGTAAATGCATACTTATGAAGCCCAGACATTATTGAATATAGTTTACCTTTATGCTAAAACCTACGCAAAATATAATTAATGGATAATATTAATATATGTGATATTGCAGTGTATTCTGTTTGTGTTTGTCAAGTTCTGATGGCTGGCGATCGACATGATGACACAAATTCGAATAAGTGCTATGATGCAGAGCATATATATATACATCTGGAAGCTCTTTTGTTAAGTAGTGATCATTAATTCATAATATAGATTGAATATCGTTCACTTGTATCACGATGGGTTGGTTTAATTATAATTTAACCAATCCATATAACGTTACCCGATTCTATTAGGATTTGCCAGCTACTAGTTCACACTCTTCTCTAATTAACAAGCTTTTTTCATCATCTTCTTAATTCTCTCTTATCCTATCTATATAGCTCGCTAGCTTTTTCATCATATCTTGCTAGCATACTGCCATTACATTATTTAGGCTTCCAAATCTCGAAGGGTCAATTGGCTAAATTAAACTCCAGTTAATTTATAGTTTAGATACGGTTTACCATAAAAAAAATCAACCTGTACCACATTGATTAACTATAAGAGATTTAATGGATTTATAAGGTCAGCTCAACATTAATAACTAAAAGAGTTAGTTGGGCCTTGTTGGGTTGGGCTTTTGGGCCTAGGTGGCCAAACTCCTTCTCTCATATACGATGGCCGATCGTCTCTTTGGCCCCCATAGTCGGATGATGCCTCCGCCCAAATAAGGGGGGTCATCCAAAAGCTAAGTCTGGAAACAAGGCGGCACAACGGGGTGACAAACGACCGGGTACTTAGCCAGATCGGGTCAGTAACTGATGGGTCAGTAACCCATCAGTAACCCCTTCCTTGGTCCGCACGTGTCAGTCACTTTTTTATTTAAATTAAATGTGAAAAGGGCAGTACGGTAAAATTGCACTTACTCCTATTTATTGCTGATGTTCACTTTTGACCGGAGCATATCAGCGCCTCCTTCTCTCTCCTCGCAAAACATTTAATTTTCCTTCCCTTAATCTTTAACGGACGATTTCTCACTCGTTTTAAGTCGAAATTTAATTTTTTTTGCACAGTTAGATCAGATTAATTGTGCTCTTCAAAATGATATCCACTTTGATATTTTTTTGAAACAAAAAAATTTGTCAGTTATTACCAGTCTATACCATATGGTATTGACTGTACCATATGGTATTGACTGGTATTAAACAAGAGCATATGGTATAATATGGTAATATCAATATATATTTCGTTACCACCCAATACCATATGGTATAGTGTGGTAATATCACACAATTCACACAATACCATATGTTATAGAGTGGTAATATCAATATATATTTCGTTACCACGCAATACCATACATTACCATAAGGTATAGTGTGGTAATATCAATATATATTTCGTTACCACCCAATACTATAGGGTATAATGTGGTAATATCAATATATATTTCGTTACCACACAATACCATATGGTATAGTGTGGTAATATCACACAATACCATAAGGTATAGAGTGGTAATATCAATATATATTTCGTTACCACACAATACCATATGGTATAGATTGGTAATATCAATATATATTTCGTTACCACGCAATACCATAAATTACCATAGGGTATAGTGTGGTAATATCAATATATATTTCGTTACCACCCAATACCATATGGTATAGAGTCATAATATCAATATATATTATCTAAAAGGAAAAAAACAGAAGGAGGGAGAGAAAAAAAATCGTCTTCTGATGCCTCTCATTTCCTCTTCCTCAATCAAGAACACCAAAATGCCAAAAAAATGAGAAAGATCGGAATTGAGTCCAACGAGTTTATGAAGAGAAGAAATGCAATGAAAGAAAGTGGCTACAATTTTTATGCTAGAAAAAAAAAATGAAGAAGGAAGAGAGCAGATTTAAATTTGAAAAGGAGATTGTGAGAGAAAAAGTAAGAGAGAAGGAAGAAAGTTGAGTTGCAGAGAAAAAACCATTCTCTCTCTTTCATTGAAAAGTCAGCCATTGAAATGCGGAATAAATAAAAAAAATTAAAAATACAAAAAACGGACAAAAATGCCCCTCCCCACCCAGCGTCCAGCCCATCCACACGATTTCTCCATCCCCGGATCTACGGTCCGCTTGTGGTTACTGATGGGTCAGTAACCAGTGGTTACTGACCCTATCTTGGATCCAAATTGGAGGCCATCTAAAAACTAAGTATGGAAACAAGGCGACACAAGGGGGTACCAAGCCGGCAAGACAGGGCTCAAGGCAGGGCTTGGTATCAAGACATGAAAATGCATTGAATTTGTCTAAGTATAGAGCCAAAGAGGGTACCATGCCGGCAAGGCGGGCTTGGTACCAAGACATGGAATTTGGTCAGTTACCAACTAGTCACCAAGGCGGGACAAGGGACCCCGAGGCGGTTTGGAGCAAGAGGCCAGCTAGCAGTTACTACGGCGATTACCAAGGCAGTTACACCTGGTGACTATAAATAGGAGAAACGAAGATGGGAAAAGGGTTCCACAACCAACTATTTGACACATTATGTCAAACTTTATCTTTTCTCTGCAAATTAGCCATAACCTTAGTTTTCGGAGCTCTCGTGAGTAATTAACGTAGCTTGTTCCCAAAAAACCATAAAAAAACATCAAACACCCTCGTTCGAACATTGTTCGGAGAGGTGTGTACCGTGTTGATTGTCGTTGTTCAAAAAGTCAAAGGTGCATTCATTGAGTTCAAACACCAAGATTGTCCTCGCCGGAAAACAGATACTCTCAAATTTATAAAAGATAATCTAGAACTCCTCGTAGTAATTAATCAGTAATTAATATATTTTATTAGATAGTGAGATTAATTTGCAGTTA